AGTCACAAGCCCACTTGCCCACAGGGTTTTGGGGTTCAGCCCTGGTTCAGAGGCTCAGTCACGCTGCGGCAGGGCAGCTCATTCCTTTTCATCACTGAACAGTGCTCCATGGCCTGGAAACAGCGCGGGCTGTTCAGCCTTTACCAGCTGACGGACGCTCGATAGTTTGCGCCGGTCACTATGGATAATGCTGCTGCACGCGCCGGTGCCGCACTCACGCCCCGCTCCCTCCTGGCACTCGTGCGGCACCGCGACTTCCCGGCCACGTCTCTTCCTACCTCCCAGTTTTGTCCGTCGCCTCTCCCTTCATGCTCCGTTCCACCCACAGCTCCTGGTCCATCTCCCCTAATTCTTTTCAATGTATTCATTGAGTTCCTATCAGTTGCTGCACGTTTTGGTTCTAGGATTTCCCTCTGTCCTCTCTAAACTTCCCACCCATTGTGCCCAAGTCTCAATCTCGTCTTCCTCCTAGAGCAGAGTAAGTGCGTGCTTCCAAGTCAACATGTGCAGACTCCCAAATCTCAGCCCCCATGGGTCCGATTCTGTCCGTTCTTTCTGGCCCCTTTCTGTTCATGCTTCTCGTCTTGTCTTCCTGGTCGTTTTTAGTTGTATGTGAAAAATTAAAGACTCAGTGAGGCCTAGGAGGGTGGTCGCCTCCTCTAGGGATGCCTTGCGGTTGCTTCTGGCAGGTGGCTGGATGCCTGTAGTTTTGGGGTTCAGCCCTGGTTCGGAGGGTGCCTCTGGGGTGAGTACCCTGGAGGGTGCCTCTGGGGTGAGTTCTGGGCTCTTTGAATGTGTTTTTAAATCTTGCTTTTGTCAAAAGCGCTGAAGAGCTTCTCATTTTTGCGTACAGTCTTAGTTCCGAATGTTTGGTAGGGCCGGAAGTGCCGGCTCTGCAGTGTTCTCTCTGGCTTCGGCCTCCGATCCCGCTGGCTTTGCGAGATGGTTCGGGAGCGTGCCCTCCTCTCCTGTGTTTGGGAAGGAGACCGAGAGTGACTGGTCAAGTCACCAGTGAAGCCGCCTGGTCCTGGGCTTCCGTTCGCTGGAGGGCTTTTGATTACCGATTCAATGTCCTCACTAGTAATGGATCTGTTCAGATTTTTCTATTTCTTCTGGATTCAGTCTTGGTAGTTGTATGGTTCTAGGAATTTGTCCATTTCTCTCAGGTTTTCAAATTTGTCGGTGTATAATTTGTCCATAGTGGTCCACGGCACCTCTGTGGTATCAGGTGTAGTATCTCTTTTATTTCTGATTTTGAATTGTCTATTTTCTTGGTGAGTCTAGTTAAAGATTTGTCACTTTTCTTTATCTTTCTAAAGCACCAGCTTTTCATTTCATTCATCTTTCCTGTTGTCTCTTTAGTTTTATTTCATTTGTTTCTGATCTTTGTTATTTTCTTCCTTCTACTAACATGGGGCATTGTTCTTCTTTTTGTGGTTCCTTGAGGTATAAAGTTAGGTTGAGCTGTTTGTTTCTTGGCCTTTCCTCTTAGAACTGCTTTTCCTGCGTCCCGTAACTGTTGGTATGTTGTGTTTACATTTCCATTTGTCTCAAGGTATTGATTTCTTTTGATCTCTTCTTTAACCTGTTGGTTGTTCAGTATTATATTGTTTAATCTCCAGCTATTGTGAATTTTCTATCCTTCCTGTAATTGATTTCTGGTTTCCTACCATTGTGTCAAGAAAATGCTTGATGTGATTTCAATCTTCTTAAATTTATCGACTTGTTTTGCTGCCTAGCATGGGATTTATCCTGGAGAATATTTCTTATGGACTTGGAAAGGATGTGTCTATTGCTGGTTTTGGATGGAGTTCTCTGTATGTCTGTTAAGTCCATCTGGTCTAATGTGTCGGCTAAGGCCAGTGTTCCTTTATTGATTTTTTTCTGTCTGGAATGATGTATCTATGTAAGTGAGGTATTTAAATCCCCTACTATTATCATATTTCTATTTCTCCATTTAGGTCTTTTAATATTTGCTTTATAAATTTAGGTGCTCTTATATTAGGTACATAAATACAAATGTTATATTTTGTTGCTGGATTATTTTTTTCCCTATAAAGCCTTGCATCTTTTGTTGGATTTATTCCTAATACCTTAAGACCTGAGCTGCTGGTATAAATGGAATCCTTTATCAAGAATTATGTTTTCTAATTGTTGACGGTGTATGGGAACATGTTTCATCTTTTCATCTGGTGAACAGCTAATCACTGTGATGGGTTTCATTGGTCATCTCAGTTACATTTCTTCCTGGTGGCACTGGCTGGGGTCTCCAGGACAACACTAAGCAGACGTGTTCACTGTGGGGGCCTTACCTTGTTTTGATTTTAAAGGAAATGCTTTGACTGCTTCACTGCTGAGTAGGATGTCTGAACAGAATTTTGGAAGGCAACCTTTATCAGATCAAGGAGATCTAGTTAAGAATTTTTTAAAAACTGAAATTGGGAACAGGTGTTGCCTTTTTAATGACGGCCTCCCTGACCACTGAGGTGCGGAGGTGGTGTGCTTCCTTTAGTCCGTCAGTCTGCCTGCAGCAGGCGAGACCGTGCTGCGAAAACCCAGAAACCTTGAAACCTGCATAACTTAGCACGAGTTCCTTCTTCATTTGTGCCAAGTCCAGTGTGGACGGCGGGGTGGTCCCTGTCTGGGCTTCCTTCACTTGGGACTCTGCCACCTCAACCCCTGGAGTCTGTCATGGCAGGGAACGAGGTACACCCAGCCTTCGTTTTTGTTCTTTAGATTCCACATGGAAGTAAAATCACATGATATTTGTCTTTCTCTGATTTCACTCAGCAAAATACTCTCTTGTTCCATCCCTGCTGTCACAGTGGTAAGAATTCCTCCTTTTTCACCGCTGTGTAGTATTCCATCGTGTAAATGTCCCACGGCTCTTTTATCCGCTCATCTGTTGAGGGGCACTCGGGGTGCTCCCAGATCTTGGCGATTGTAAATAATGCTGCAGCGAACATAGGGCTGCTTGTGTTCTTTCAAATGAGTGTTTTGTGTTTCTTCAGGTGTATTCCCAGAAGTGGAGTCGCTGGGTCGAAAAGCAGGTCCTTTTTAACTTTTTGAGGGGACATCCATCCCCAACTGTTAGCACCACACAACAGCAGCCAGCAGGTCTGGGGGTGGGGACGAGTGAACCGTGTCCTTGGTGAGCATGAGATGGCAGCGCCCAAGTCAGGGCTATTGTGTGGGGTCAAGTACATTCACCGACTTACGAAGCTCACTCCATCCTTGCGCCTGAGGAGGAGCCCGCCTGGGCCGGGGGTGCTGGTTTTCATGCATTGCTGGCTGGGGGTCGCTGCGGTTACTTTGGGGCTGTTGCTCCTGTTCATAAAATGAGCGGAGAAGTGCGCCCCGCTTCCGCTCTCAGGGGTGCTGGGTAAGGCTGAACCCGCCTGTTTGTTTGGCATAAGTCGCCTGTTAAGCCTGTTTGGACTTAACGCTTGTGAGTGGCTTTCAAACCAGATTTAACTTCTCTCATGTCAAGCACCGCTTCTTTGTAGCACTTCCCATGGCTGTAATATTTCACTTGTGTGACTTTTACGTTAAGAGGATTAAATGAGGTGAAGCCGTGTGCAGAGCGCTTGGTGCCCAGCACGCGCTCAGTGAGGGACAGGGGCAGCGGCTCACTGGACGCTGTCACAGGCACGGGCTCGCTGAGCCCCCAGCCCTTCTGAGGTGGGCGCGGGCATCGCCCACTTCCAGCTGGAGCCACTGGGACCAGAAACAGGGCCACTTGGCCTGTCAGCTGTAGAGCCAGGGCCAGGGCTCTGATGAGCCAGGTGCCGCCTCCCGCCAGCGCGTCCCAGGCCAGCGCAGGGCTGCAGGGGCCCAGACCCGGCCTCACCGGGCTCCTGGACACGCACCCCAGTGAGCGCATGAACGGCCCCCGGGGACGGCTTCTGCGGGCAGCTGGGGCTGGGCACGGCGCCCCCGCCGGAGCCGCCCGACCCCGGCCCGTCCGCGAGGAGGTCGCACAGTGCACGCGCTCTGGCTTCCATCTGTACGTATTTTTATTTTCCTTTCATATAAAAGTTACAGGATTGAAATGTCTGCAGGGAGATGCCACTGTCAGCCAGGTGAGGCAGGACTATATATTACAATGCCACACTGGGGGGCGGGCGGGGGAGGGGCTTCCAGAGTCGGGCTCAGTTCAGACGCAGTGCCAGCCTGCCCTCCCCGGCCCCACCCCCGCCTGCATGGGATCTGACCGTCCCAACCGCGCCTGTGCGTCCTGAAGATCGGCCCCCACACCCTGCCCCAGAGACAGACAAGTCACGGCCGGGCCGGGGTGCCGGTGTGGGGTTTGGCAGCTCCCGGAGCCAAAAGGCGTCTTCACGAGGGCGGGCGGGGAAGCCCGCGGGCCAGCAAGCTGAGCACACACCGCGCCTGCTGTCCCCACCCCGGGGTCGCCAGCCCGTGGGCCCCTGCCCTGCCTGCCCGGCGGCCTCTGCTCGGACCACCGCGGGCGGCGGGGCGCCACGGGGGGGGCGGGGGGCGGGCCGGGCGCAGGCTGCAGCGAGGACTGGAGAAAGCAGGCACGGACTAACCCAGCCCCCACGCAGCCCCGCGTCGTCAGCAGCAACTCGACACACACACTCGTTAAATAATAAAGTGACGAGCTCGGCTGGATGCCGGTGGGGATGCGCTGCCGGCGGGGCCTGAGCACCATCCCACAGCCGCCTCCCCCATGGGCGGGACGGCTCGGGAGGGAAAGGCCAGCCCGGCTTTTCCCCTTGATACCAGCTGCTCAAAACCCACGAAGGACTCGAAATGACATGGTTGTTTCCTTAAAAACTAAATATAAATAATCCACAAGTGTTGCTTTCTACTCTTTTTTTTCTGGACTTTCTACTCTTTTTTTCTGGGCTAAGCAAAGATCCTGCAGTTTGCGTGACCAGGTGCCAACCCCAGGACAGGCGAGCACTGCTCCGCACACAGCAGGACGTGGGGGGCGGGCCCACCGGAGCCCACGGGGCATGGGAGGCTCCGGCAGGCTCCGGCGGGCACCGCCGGGGGTGGGGGGCGGGGGCCCTGCAGACCCAACCTCGGATTGTCGACCTCAGCAGCAAGAGTGGTGTGAACAAGAGGACGGAAGGCGTCTGGGCCTGAAGACCCTCCCGGGGAAGCGCGAGCGCGCCCCGCGACGGAGGGGTGGCCGCCGGCCCCGGGCAGGGCCCGCAGCGCTGGGGGGCCAGGCTGAGGAGCAGCAGGCGCCCTTCCCCCACCAGAATGGAGCGAGGCGGGGGCCCACGGGGCGGGGATGGGGGGAGGCAGAGTTTAAGGCACATGGCAAGCGACAGGAGGGGCCGCTGGCCCCCCCGGAACAGAAACGCCCCGCTCTCTGGATTAACTCACCCCAGAGGTCCGGGCCCAGCTCAGGCGAGCGTGTTTCTTGGATGGTCAAGTCCTCGCTGCAGCCACTGCCCGGGACCCAGCAGCAGCTGGCGCCGCGCCAGGGGCGCCAGAGCTCCCAGGCTGCCCAGGGGCCCCCGCCGCACATTTCTGTGCCAGGCAAGCAGCTCGCCCCCACATATTAAAAAACCGGGAAACCGGGCTGGAAGGCAAAAGTGGCCCCGCCCCTCCCCGCTCTCTGCCGACCCAGCGAAAGGTCCTCTTCGTCACGGTCACCGGGAGGGCAGCGCGCCCAGGACCCTTGAGCCCTCACTCACGCGTCATTTCAGCAGGTCCAGGACCCTGGAGGTCGAGGCGCAGTGCAGATGCCGGCGCCCCCTGGTCTGCCCCCAGGGGGGGGCGGGCGGGGGCAGGGGCGGGGAGACAGACAGGAAAGCAGAAACCAAACGAGAAAACCGCCAGTTCACCAATCAGCAGTGGGGCCTGCCTGCTGGTTCCGCGTGGGGCTGTGGGGCCGTGGGCCCCGCTGGCAGGAGGAGGGGGCAGGAAGCTGCCCGGGCTCAGGCTCCTGCCCCACCAGGCCCCGTGGCTGAGGCTGGGACGCATGATGCTGTCCCATAACACGTCCAAAATCCCTTCCGCGCTCGGAGCTGTGCTCCGAGCCTCTCTTGGGCGTTCTCCTTGCTCACGGCGCCCGCTCCTAGGTCTTCTCTTCCCGGTCTGTTTTTCTCCTTGTTATGTTCCTGGGTTTGATTTTCAGAGAGAGTTCCCATAGGGCCTCCTCGGCCAGGTGGTCACTGAAGTCATTGAAGAAGTTTATGATGTCGTCATTTCTCCGGATGTCATAATGCCTGGTGAGGAAAGGAGGGCAGCCAGTGAGAGCCCAGGACCCCTTGAAGGCGACCCACCGCCACTCCAACAACGGGTGCGGCAGGGGCTGCTGCTGCCCATGGTCCGAGAATACGAGTGCTCAGAGACGAGGCCACCAGCACGCAGAGCCCAAACTGGACCCTAAAGCTGTGCTCTCTGCTTCTTGCGTGGTCTCCCCAAGCTGCACCCCTGCACCTGGGCTCCCCTCTGCAAGGCGCCCCGTGGAGACCCAGTCCGTCAGGCCTGCCCCGTGGGCACTGCCGTCCGGGCCTGCACCGCCGCGCTGCAGCCCAGGGGCTGGGGTTTGTTCGGCCGCTCCGTGCAGCAAGGCCAGCTGCGAGCGCCCTCTCACGGGAGACAGGACCAACCGGCTGCCCCCAGTGGGCAGGCCGTGGGCCACATTGTGCTGGCCCGTCACACACACTTTCTCACACCCTCCTGACCGGACAGGGCAGGTGAGTCCCCATTGGTCCTTTGCCCCCTCCCCTCTCGCTCAGGTGTCAGGGGCTGAGGGTTGGGGCGGCCGCCCGGCGCGCACTCACGCCTGCTGGAAGCAGCGCATGCTGTCCAGGATGTTGAACTGCTGCCACCGCTTGGAAAAGTTCACCTTGCCGTCGATGTAGTCTGGGTTCCCCAGGTGCACGAAGGTGAGATCCTGCAGGATGAGCCCCCTGGAGGGCGGAGAAGCCAAGTCACCCTCTGGCGGTAACTCAGGAGGAGGCCGGTTTCCAGGCCTGTCGGCGGGGACACCGGGAGGAGCCAGCGCTGGCCTTTGGACAGTGCCCGAGAAGCTACCAGGGCCCCCAGCACCTCCGGGACGTGTCTGCTGCTCCCAGCACAAAGACCTGGCTCCCAAGCTCAGAGTCCCGGGAGAACCAGCTCAGGTCCCGGAGGGCCCCAGCGGCTGTCCCAGCCAGCAGGGCACTGTCAGGGAATGGGCTGCTACAGTGAAAGCCGGCAGGGTTGTGGCTTTGCTAATTAAAATCCATAAATGGACAGGAAAAATAACAACACCCCAAACTGGGGTGGGGCAGGAGCCAGAGCGCCCGGGTAACAGATATGGGAAGGAGCCTCTGAACGAAGAGCACGCGGAACCACATGATGCGTGACGGGCAGTTCCTCCACCCAGGGGCCCAGCCCCAGGGCACAGGGGCGCCCTCCAGAGCCCACAGGGGAGAGCGCGCCTGCGCAGTGCGGGCCGGGAGGCAGGAAGCAAGGAGGGGGCGGCGGCCCGCTCGTGTCTCCAAGGACATCCCCTCAGAGGCCCAGCCCAGGACTGGGGTGGCTGACTCTTCCAGCCCTTTGGGGGAGGCCAGCGTCCACCATGCACCAAGGGGTCTGGTAGCTTTGGTCTCCCTTATTGCCTGTGCTTGCCGGCCATGGCCTCCTACCCCAGGAAACACCTATTTGCTCCAGCCCAGGGACCCCCTGGGGACTTGCGCTCTGAGCTGCTTCATGCCAAGTGCTCCTAGGGCTCCCGGGGAGACTTAGGCCCTCAGGTGGTTGCAGTGCGCACCCAAATTCGAGGACGCGGGGAAAGGGTGTGCTGCCCATCGGGGAACGGAAGCTGCACGCCTGTGCACGCGCACGCCTGGACACGCTGCCTGGTAGGGCGACGTGGGGCAGGACGGAGTCAGAGCCGTTCTCACTGGGCCCTGCTTTTTTGTTTAAATGTAAAACGTGCTCCTTGTCACGCAATTTAAAGGTGAGATAGAAGTAAAACGTCTTGGTGGAAACGCTTAGGCGCAGGTTTTCCAGGGAGCCTCACAGAGCATCCCCAGAGCGGGCGCAGGGCAAACCAGGGCAGGAGGGTCCACTCACAGGTACGGGATGCACGGCGGCTCCACCTCCGCAAGGGCGGCCCGGTAGGCGCGGAAGGAGGACGAGCTGTCAATCAGCGTGCAGTACTCGGCCAGGCCCTGGGCAGGGGACGCGGGAGCCGTGAGCACAGGGACGAGGTCGGGCACCGAGCCCTGGCCGCTCCTCGCCGACCCGCTCATCACTCACCCTCTGCCAGTGCTCGAGGGTGCCCACACGTACCGACCCGTTCCGGAACCAGGCCCAGCCCCGGCCACAGGGAGACCAGGCCTTCTGGGGACAACTGTCCAGGGGACAGTTTGTGCCTGCTTAGGCCATGCTGCTTCCTCATCGGCACCTGCCACATGTACGGGACCTGGAGCGCGGGCCCCTCCTGGTCATGCTCTGCACGGCAGCCCAAGTGACCCTCTAAAGCGCATCCTGACCCAGGCCACGCCCAGGCCGAGCCTGCCTTTGTTGCTCGCTGCTCAAGGGCCAAGCCCACCCGGGGCTGGCAGCCTGGGGCTCCTCCCTGGGAGGCTAGTTGATCCTGCCTTTTTGCCTGTTAGGTGCCTCTCACTCCGATGGGTCCCCTGCTCCAAGAAGCCTTCCCAGCCCCATCAGGACCTCGACCTCTTACGTTTCCTGGAGTGACTGGCATGCATGTCCCACTTCTCCAAACCATACTGTTTTATAACTGTCCTTTTATGTTACCTCATGAGATGGTCCTGGGGCGGCGTAGCCGGTGCTCAGCCCTGTGGCTTTGCCTCCCTTGTCAAGGAAAAAGCTCCCACACGAGAACGAAGATCTGATCCCTTGCCTGCCCCCTGAGGCCCCCGGCAACGTGGCCGTGCTGGCCTGTCATGCTGTGTGCCGCGAGCTCCCATGGGCGACACAACTTTGCCGCCGGTGCACTCCCATCCCCACAGGCAGGGGGGAATCCTCTCCCTTCCCGGGGCGGCTCCTCAGGGCGCGGACTTGTCCCCACGTCCCCAGAGGCTGCCCCGACCCAGGCTGCTCACACCCTCCTTCCCTTTGGTGCCTGCTCCGAAGAAACCGCCCAACACGCCTTCCTGTTCGTAGCAGCCCCCCAGTGCCCGCTGGAGCCCCAGCCCAAAGTAGGCTTTCTAGAAGCATGGGCTGAAGGAAGGAAGGGGCAGGCACTTTCTAGAAGGCACGGGCTGTGGGGCAGGCGGCAGAACTCTGTGATGTAACTCCCCGGCACAGGCCACGAAGGCCCTCAGCCCAGTGACAGGGACTGGAGGCAGGGGCCTGAGGCAGGCCGGGGCGGGCCGTCCAGCCACGCAGCAGGCAGGGGCACCCGCGCCAGGGCCTGAGCCCAGGCTGGCATTCCCGTGAGGGGTACGTCCTCCCAGCCCTCACCTCTGAGGTCTGCTTCTGCCACTCCAGCCTGCGGATGGGCGCTGAGTCCAGTGCAGAGAGGATAGCCAGGTAGGAGTTGAAGTTGTTGAGCTTCCGCAGGTGCTGCAGAGAGAGGTGCACCACCGCGAGGTGAGGCCCAGGGCAGGCCGGCCGGGCCCTCCCACCGCCCGGGGGCAGGGCCTCCAGGAGCAGCCCTGGGCGGCGCCGCGGCTACCTTCATGATCTTGATGAACTTCAGGAGCAGCCGCTCCCTGTCCTGGGCCTTCTCCTGTAACATGATTATTGACCGGACCCTGTGTGACCGAAGGAGGAAGACCGCTGAGCCCCAGGTGGTCCTGGTGGAGATGCGACCATCCGGCACACGTCCTGGGCCCAGAGCGAGCACCCAGGGCTGGGAAGCACTGAGCGCAGCCTTTGACTTTGCTCCCATGTGGCTCACAGGAGCCCAGGGGTAGGCCCGAGGCCGCAGAGAGATCTCGTGACCAGGGCTGGACACCAGCACGGGGACCTCCGACGGTGCAGCTCGGGGCTCCGGGGGATGCGAGCAGAGCTTTCCTGACAAGCGCTGGCACCAGTGCCAGCACCAGCACCAGCACCAGCACCACCGAGGACGGAAGGACCCCAGGGCCTCAGGACTAGGTTAGGAGAAGGGCAGCCACGCAGGGTGGGAGGCTGCCTCGCCAGACACGAGGGCACCCCTCAACCTCGGCAGCCACCGGGGCCACGGCCGGCCTCTCACAGGACCTGGCAGCAGCCTCTACCCTGCAGTTTCACAGCGGCCACTGCCGGCCCCCTGGAGGAAGTGCCCCTTCCGTCCCCTCGGTGAGCACCTGCCCTGACTCGCCCGGGCTGCAGCTGCACCCCGCCCAGGCAGACCCTCTGGAGGCCTCCGTGTCCAGCAAGCGGCCGGTTGGAAGCCAGGCGCAGGGCCTGGTGGGGCTTCCGTGAGCCGTGCAGACGGCCGTGTCCTGTCGGGTCGCTGCCACTCCCTGTGGCGGGGAGCAAGGCAGGGAGGGCCAGGGCGACCCGACTCTCCCCAGCAAGCAGCCCTCGGTGCATTTAAAACGCCGGGCGGCCCCCTGGTGGCGGCAGCGGGCTGTGTGTGGGCCGGGCAGGCCCAGGTGCGGGATGGCTCGCTGTCACATGCCGACCGCCCTCTTTGATGCCCAGAGGCCGCGGGCACTTCTGAGCCACACCGGGAAGGGCCGACAGTTCTGTTGTATGTCGTGTAGTCAACATGCTCCTGGGCTCCATCTCACTTTAAGAATTAAAGGCTACCTCACAGTGTTAACGGATCCTACTCCTTTGCCGCTCTCTCTCGGGCAAAGCCAGTGTGTGGCTGTCCCCGAGGTTGCCAACCTGGCAGTGGGGACACTGGCAAGGACCAGTGCGTGAGGGCACGCTTCAGCCCCCTGTCCCCGGCAGGTGCTACCAATCAATCATGGACCCTCCCTCCTGTGTCTCCCACCCCTCAGCCAGCCCTCCGGTCTGGGTGGCCCCTTTCGATGCCCAAGACATGCCCCTTGCTCTCTGCCGCCTACGGATCATAGTGATCGCCCACAAGCCTCAGGCGGAGCTGCGAGGGAGAAGGGGCGCCCCTCTACCTGCCACGGGGGGCCTCTGCCAAGGACAACTGCGTGTACAGGGGCTTTGACGGCGCCCCCTTACCAGTAGGACATGTTGTTGAAGTGCTCTGTGAACTGAGTCAGGTTGGGGCTCTTCTCCTCGTTCTGCTCCTTTGCCCAAAGTAAAACCTCCGGAATCTGAGAAAGCAAGCACACTGGGTAGGGCTGGAGCCCTCGGGCTTCGCAGCGCCCGGATGGACGGTCTCTCTGTTCCGGGACGAGCGGTAGCGGCGGCTCCCGGGAGGGCTGGCCCTCCCCTGTGACCCTCCCCTGTGCCCCTCTCCCGCCACGCGTACCTCTATTTTATAAAAGAGCTCGGCATCTAGCAGGGTCAGCTGCTCAGCTATTTCGTGGCTGTGAAAGTCGTGCAACGTCCCCGGCCTGGAAGACAGAAGCTCAAGGTGAACAGACAAAGACGGCAGAGGGGAGCGGCCTCAGAGCTGGGAGCCGGGGGAGCGGCCGACTGGCCTTGCTCCGCAGCAGGACACAGGCTGCAACGCGGGCTGCGGGCAGGTCGGGACCACCGCGCCGGCCCGCCTCCTGCTGCTGTTGGGGCGGGTGCTGCCGCCGCGCTGTGAGCCCAGGGGCGGATCGGCCGTGTGAGAACTCAGGGCCCCGGGGGCAGAGATGGTGCCGTGTGAGCGGAGGCTGGGCCAGGGGTAGGCAACAGACTGCACCCTGCACTTGGGGTCTCGGGAATGTTCAGGGAGGCACGGCGGGGCTGGGCGAGCATCCACAGCTGCTGCGTTAGTGCCAGGGAGGAGTTAAGAACTGACCACAGTCTGAAGCCCGTTCATCTATCTCCTGTCCTGGTAAGCCCTCCGCCCCCGGGCGCCCCGCTTCCTGGTTAAAAGGTGACTCATCACAGAACATAACCCCGGAGAAGAGGCCCCGCACCCAGGGGACCCATTGGGCTGGCCCAAGACACCTTGTCCACAGGGCCTGGCAGAACCAGGATGGGAGGCTGTGGACTGGGGACGGGCACCAGGGAAAACAGCAGGCAGTGGTAGCTACGGGGCACGGCTCAAGCCAGAGGAGGCGGGGGCTGGAGGAGCCACGGCGGATGGCAGGCGGCCCACCTGGCTGCCACGCCCCTGGCTGCGAGGGGCTGGTCGGAGTTGGCGCACCGGAGCAGCTTCTTCTGGTCCACCTTGTCCAGGATGTTCTTCCGGAGCACGCGGGCCAGGCTGAGCTCCCCATTGCATACCAGGCGGAAGACCAGTTCCATCAGCAGCTTCAAGATCTCTTCTGTCAGCTCCACGAGGCTAAAGGGCCATGGCCACAAGGGGCAGGGACACGAGGACAGAAAGGAGGGCTGCTGCCACAGGGTCCAGACGCCGCCTGGAGATGCCCACGAGCCCTGTGGCAGCCATCGGCAGAGCTGGGACCCCTCGTACGGGGAGGGAGCAAGAAGAGGTCCTCGGGCTGCTGCCGCCCCATCATAGGTGCTGGGAGCCCCGTGGGAGCAAGTGACCCTGTCCCCCTGGCAAACACTGCTGGCCCTGGATGGGCTCTAGGGACTGTGCCAGGGCCGGGGGTCCAGAGACAGACCCCACCCAAGCCCTGCTCTAGAGGAGCTCCTGCTTCGGGGGTGAGGGGTCCCTAAGAGGTCCTGACCCTCAGACGTTACACCTCAGGACGTCCCCCTGCACAGCATGCTCTGTGCGTGGAGGTTCCACAGCCTTGCCTCACTGGGGCTGCCCCAGAACAGAAGGGAGGTGCCCTGAAGGCAGGGCACAAGGGAACGGAGGGCGCCGCGCCCGGGAGTGCCACGGCGGCTGCCGAGCTCCGTGCGGGAGGCCGGGGTGCCGGCCGGGGCTGGTCCCGGGATGGGTCACTTTCTGGGGGCTCGTGTGCGAGCAGGCTGGGGCGGGCCTGGTGCAGAATGGAGCATGCGAGGCCCGGCGGCGGGGCCGGCACGATGTGGCGGGATGCCCCCGTCTCAGCAGAGGAGCCTGCACCCCAGAGCGGGGCTGAGGCGCCAGGCCTCCCCGCAGCCCCGAGGGCGGAGGCACTCACCAGAGCTCATCCACCACGCGCACCAGAACGAAGAACGTGTTTTTGCTGACGCGCTTCTTGAACGTGTCAGCAAAGGGAGAGAACTTCTCGTACGTGGAGTGTGCGTTAAAGAAAACAATGGTTACCACACAGGCAGGGTACCGTGAGCGGAGGGCCACCTCTGCCAGCCCGTTTCCTGAGTGCCACGGTGCGCCAGGGAGCTCAGGCGAGGCGCGGCCACTGGGGGCAAGGGCGTGGGCTTGGCAGAGGCCTGTGCAGAGCAGCAGGGCTGCCGTGTGGCCATTGACCCAGATCTCAGAGTGTCCTCGACCACCGCCCTCTCCTGCCTGCAGCGCTGTGCCCGCCACACCGCCCAGAGCTGCCTTCTGAGCCTGAAGGAGAAGGTGGCGGTCAGAAACCACACGTCCTGGCCCCTGCGCCCTGGGTGCGTGTGCAGCCCAGAGGCGCCTCCCTGCACCCTCATGCGAGTCCCTGAGCTCCTGCGGCCTGAGGAACCACTGGGGGCACCTGCCGCTCCTACACAGCAGCCCCCAAACTCCCAGCCAAGCCCGCCCGCCGCTCCCGAGGCCCTGCTTTCTGCTGTCCTCGGCTACCTCCCCAGGCCCTGCTCCTGCTCCACCTGCCTGCGGCCTGCGGACCCAGGAGTGCCCAGGAAGGAGCCACGCACCAGGACAGTCATCGGGCCTGCAGCATGGAGGGCCCGCTCGCCAGCTGTGCTCAGGGTCCCGAGGCTGAAATGTTCCCATGGACAGGCCGGAAGCAGCTGAGCACCGAGGGGCTGAGAACTTGAGCTCTGGAGTCAGAGAGGCCGGGGGGGGGGGGGCGGCTTTCCCAGCAAACAGCCACTGACCTCTCTGAGCCTCAAGTTTCCTGACTCACTCAGAAGAATCTAAGGGCACCGTGTGGCATATGGTGGCCGTACAGACACACGACGCTTGTAGAGCTGGGTGGGACTCCACGTGCGCACACTCAGCGGCACGCCCAGCTGAGTTCTCGTCACGTGTGAGTTCAAGCACCTGCTGAGCCAGGCCCGTGACAACGGGCTGTGAGGCCGGAGGACATATGTCTCCGTAGATGGGGTCGGCCCACTGCGGTGGTGAGGGACCAGAGGCCCGCAGGGGAAGAAGCCGCAGGGCACACAGGAGGGAGTGGTGAGCACTGGGACCCCAGACTCCCTACCCCAAGTGACAGAAGCTGTCCAGCAGGTGGCACTCACAGGCTGTGACATAGGGACTTGGCCAAGGAGCAGACGTTGGGCTGGCCCACTTTTGGGGGCAGGATAGGCAGGCTGGAACCTGACAGAGAGGCACCGAAAGCGGGTCCTCCCAGGCCCCGGGGTCCTCTGGGAAAGGCGAGCTCGCAGGCAGGCGTGGCTGGGGGCAGGGGCCGCCGGTCCTGCTGCTGACACGCTTCAGCCCACGGCCACGCCCGCCATCGGGTGCATGGCCATGCCGCCCAGGGCTGTTCATTTGAGTCTTGATTCCCTAAGCGCCGCACATTCGTGCCCGTGGCCCCAGCACCCTGGGGCTCTGCTCGAAGCTGCAGGGGCCTCCGCAGTCCCTCCCTCGGGGGCCAGTTCTAACGACTCGGCATCACTTTGTGGTCGCAGCTGCCGCTAGGCAGCGGGCTCTAGTCCCGGGCCCTCCCCTCACCTCCTCGCTTGGCCCTCTCACTGACGGGGAGAAAGCTCAGGGAGCCTTGCCTGAGGCCGCAACGCCAGGACACGGTAGAATGGGGTCGCGCCTCCGTCCCTGCTGCCCACCATGGCCGCGGAGCCCCTGTGGGAGGGCTGGGGGGTGAGAAGGCCCCTCTGTGTCTCTTGCTGGGTGCTCTGTGGTGGGGGGGCGGGGAGCCAGGAAGGATATCTGTACTGCAGCTTCTTGATGAGCTCCTCAGGTGTGATGAAGGTCCTGTAGGTGGTCAGGAAGGCCTCACAGTACAACACCAGATCTAGAGAGAAGGACCCCCGGTGAGTGACACCTGCCGCGACGTGCCTGCTCTGGCGAGGCAGCGGCAGCTAAGGCCGGGCGACTCAAAGGGCCTTTGTAACCAAGGGCGCAGCGGAAACCATTCAAACCCGCCCCCAGCGCTTGTAAGCTCGCTCACAGGTGCTGCCTTCAGATGGCAGAGCATGGGAACAAATCTCGGGGATGTGCACCCACTGGAAGACCCAGGAAAAGGCTCAGGTGCCGGGGAAGGGCAAGGCCAGCCACAGGGAGCCCTTCTGGGCCCCCCCCAACAACCTCCCCTTCCTGGCTGGCTTTAGCTGGGCAGTCCTGGCCTTTCCAGAATCACAACCACCCTGTTTATTTGCTGTCGTGAGGCACCCCCACCCCAAGTCCTTAAAGAGAACGAGTTGAGCGCTTTAAATGCCGGTCACTCCCTGCAACATGTGGCCTGGCCAGACCCGTGAACTCCAGGGCTATTCTGAGTTGGAGCTGAGGGTCAAGTCCCGGCTCGACGCTGAAGCACATGCTCCTCGCCGTGAGGCCAAGCTGCGCGCCCAGGCGCCTCCTGGACAGGGACCGCCTTCCCCATCTCCTCTCGTTCACCCTGGCTCGCTGGGTGGGAAAGCTCATGGGCCCCTCTTCTCCGGCTAAGCAGCGCCGGCGTGGCTGAACTCGGCCCCCGGCCCCACCCTCGCTGTCCCCTCTCAGGACGAAGGAGAGAGACACCTGCGCCTGCATGGGGGGTGTGCGCTGTGGGGCAGGATGGGGGCGCTGGAGGAGCAGGTGTTCTGGGGGAGGCTCACAGGCTGTGGTCACAGCAGGGCCCCACAATGTCATGCTCCGGCAGCATCCTGGGCCCCAAAGCCCCCCGGCTCACTGTGAAGTCTGGGCTTCTGCTCAGAGGGGCTGGGCAAGGGAGGGGAGATGGGCTCAGCACAAGCAACGCCTGCTTCCAGAAGGCTGGCCCACGTCTGCACGCCTCCCCGTCCAAGGCCGCCGGTGCAGTCTCTGGCGCACAGGAAGCCCCCCGTGGCATGAGCTGTGTGGCCCAGGGCCTCGGCTCAGCACACCACCCGGGCACACAGGACTCTGGCTCCTTGTGGCCTCAGAGCCGTCCCATGAATGAGACCAAGTGGAAGCCCGGCTGGCAGAGGAGCCTCCTGGCCAGGCGCTGTCGACACGGGCTGCAAGGTTCTTGGCTGCCCTGCCTGCGGGGCTCCCTCTGGCTGTGGCCACAGCTGGCTGCCCCTGGCAGGATGGCGGAGCCCACTACTTGGAGCTGAGGACTGGAGCCGGCCTCCATGTCGGCCCTTCCCTCCTAGGCAAGAGTGACAACCGGCCCTCCCGCCTGGTAGAGACGCGCGGGGAGGTTCCCTGCAGGGGCAGAGCCGTGGCTGCCCCCAAGGACAAGGACGAACGCTCCCCGGGCACCCCTCGGAGCAGATGTCCCGTGTCAGCGCAATCGGCTAGCACGCCCACCGGGCACCACCAGCCTCTGCCAAGCGGACGGGCCGAGGCTGAGGGGGGCCGAGGCTGAGGGGCGCCGTGCCCAGGGGCCGCCCGGGCCTGGGAATGCCACAGCCGGATCTGAACTCAAGCCCTCGGGGCCGGGCTCTGCCCCGGACACAAGGCACCAGGGGAAGCCCCGGCGGGCGAGGCGGGGGCTGTGCCGAGTCTGTGGGAGCCGCTCCTTCTTTCCCTCTGCAATGTGCACATTGTTCTTGTGCTGCTTTCATACTTTAAAAGTTCTCAGAACCATACTTTGAGAGTCAATCTGCTGTAAAAACATAGGTATTTCGTCATTTACAAAAAATGAAATCGGGGGGTTAGGGGTCAAGACTGGGATGTTTTAATTCCTTCCACAACTGACGTTAGCGCTGTCAGCAGAGCATCCTTAAAATAAATAAAAAACGCAAAAACAAAGCGAGTGTGGGGGAGGGCAGGCCCAGTGCGGGGCGCCTTGCGCGGCCCCCCTCCCCTCCCGGGCAGCGTGCAACGTGGAAGCGCAGCTCTGGCACAGGGCCCCCGGCCGGAGGCCCCCCCCTCGGCCCCCAGGGGGCCAGCACACTGAAGGTCGGGGACCGCCCCCCAGCCCCCAGGAAGACAGCACTCCTGCTGTCAGGCTTTGGGCTCCTGGACAGAACGTGACTGGAGTCCCACCCTGCAGTCTGGAATGATATGATGTCACGTAAACATCGGGGAAAGGCCAAAAACCACCCGTGACTGAATTCTACTGTTGAACACGCTGTTACTGCAAGTACTGTTCATGGCGACCTGCGAGGTGCTGCGCTCTGTGCTTGACACTTGCCCTTGATGCCCCTGTGGGTCCCAGGGTCATCATTACCCCACACCAAAGGGGGACACACTCCAAGAGGACGGGGAGGCCAGGCCTGGCTTTTGGTGTGGGTTACTAGTTCCCCAGGTGGGCCCTAACTACGGTGACCCAGCAGCTCTGCCACCCCAACCCACTCAGGGCTGGAGGAGAGGGCAGGACAGGGCAGGACGGGGTCTGAGAGAGCGGGGCAGGACGGGGCAGGAGAGGGCCAGACGGGGAAGGGCAGGACAGGGCCAGAGAGGGCAGGATAGGGCCTGAGAGGGCAGGATGGGGCAGAAAGGGTCAGAGAGAGCAGGACAAAGAAGGAGAGGGCAGGACGCGGCAGGATGGGGCAGGACAGGGCCTGAGAGGGCAGGACGGGGCCTGAGAGGGCAGGACGGGGCCAGAGAGGGCAGGACGGGGCCAGAGAGGGCAGGACAGGGCAGGAAAGGGCAGGGCCAGCGAGGGCAGTGGAGGGCCAGGCCGCGGATGGCTGCCGCAGGACCCCCGGTACCCCGATGGAGGCCGCTGCAGCGGCCCCGCCCTACCTTTCCTGTCCGTCTCAGTGGCGTGGACCAGCAGGATGTCTGCGGATCCTCCACGGACGTCGGGCCCGTCATCACCCTGCAACGGCAACGGCAACGGCACAGGGGGCGTGAGGCCACATGTAGCCACGGGAGGCCCGCTTATGACGTCACAGGCAGAGCTGAGACGACAAAGACGCGGCGCCAGAGGCCCCAGGCCCCTTTTCCCTCTGCTCTCTGAGCCCAGGTGCGGGGGGCCGAGCTGCCACCCGCCCACGGGCTGTGCTTGGACGGCAGGACCAGAGCAGAACCCACAGGGGCGTCGGAGACCCTGGGGGCTGCCTGGGTGCGGGGGACCCGGCGCGCTCGGCTCTGAGCCGCGCCTGGGTCAGCGGGACGGGCACTCTTCCGTCTTTCCCTGCTCACCAGCCCATGGGCAGTGGGGGGAGGGGGGGGTTCTCCCAGGCTGGGGACAGAGGGACACCATGAGGAGGGAGGCAGGCAGGACTGCCACTAGCCTCTCCCAGGACACCCAGAGGCAGCTGGGCTATTTCCAACCTGTCACGTTCCTCACACCGCAGCAAAATGCCCTGAACCTCAACCTGCTCCTCAGGTGGAAGGAGAAGCCACTTGTAACATCACAGGTTCTTCCAGGGAGCCCTTCGGAGAGGAGCATGAAGTGCCACAGAGACACTTAATGACACCTGACACTGCATACAGGGACTGTGCCTGTGCCACCTGTCAGTTAAGGAAACAGGCCTGTTTCCAGGAGAGCAAACGGAGGCCTTCACCTGTTAGCCTGGCCTGGAGCCAAAAGCAGCTGCCGCCAGGGCCGTAGTCCCTCGCTGACGAGGGGACCCCCGTCTGCATCCCTGCTGTCCGTAGCCCTGTTCTCGCGACTCGCCTGCCTCCCCTAGGTGGGGGGCTCACTCCGGGCCCCAGGGCCCAGCGTGTCTTAGGTTTCCAGCTAAGAGTGTGGGTGCTATGCCCAGGACCCAATTTTTCAGAAGTTTCTGGGAGGTGCCACAAACCATTGCTTCTCCCAGGGGAGGAGCCAGCTGTCCCAGCGCCCGTCAGCCCAGCTTCCTGGCTCCTCCCGGCACCGCGCGGCTGGCCCGGCCCGGCCCGCCCCCGTTGTCTGTGCATCCCTGTGTGCTGCCACCCAGTCGGGGCTGAGGGACGTGGTCGCTTCCTCAGGGCGGGCCATCTGAGTAAGCCACTCCTCTGTTTCCAGATCGCTGGGCAGAGGGGGATGCAAAGCTTTTTCAGGTCAGTGCCTCTCTATTTGGCAGGTTTAGGTACTGTTTTTTCACCAGCGAGGCTCTCCCGACAAGGTGCAGGACCGAGGTGGCCTGGTGCGTCCTCATCCACCATGTCTCCCGGCTGTGACTGCTGCAGGGTCACTCTGTCAATAGCAGCCCACGCTGCCTAACGCCGATGAGGGCTCGCCGCACCCAGGCCCGTGCCGAGCACCTCGCACGGATTTCACCCTCACAAACCGTCCAGCTGGGGGTCCTGGGGATCCCCAGCTGACCCAGGGCCTTTTGGCGCTCATGGCGGCGCAGGCGCTAAACCGGGAGAGAAGAGACGCACGGGGCCCACAGCCCAGGCAGCCACCTGGAGGGCCAGCCCCCCGCTTGGGTCTTCCTGTCTGACACACGCCGAAGCCCCCACACCCTTGTCACGGGCCAGACTCTGCCGACCGGGGCCTGCGAGGGGCTCACCTCCTGCTTGAGTGTCAGCCTGGCCATGATTTCGTTGTGGTCGATGAGGGACAGCTCGTCCGCGTCCTCCTCTGACTGAGCCGACTCGGCAGCCTCTGGGGACTTCGAGGCCCTGGGGACAAGTGGTTTGTGTTGCAGGCGTCCGACAGGCCTGGCTCGTGAGGCCCGGGGGCTGAGGCGGTGCAGCCCCGGTCGCGGGGGCCGCGGGTCAGAATCCCACTTTCGAACAAGTCCCCCTAATCACGGCGACGGCGTGCAGTCCGGACCACCTGCACCCGCCTCAGGAGGCTGGGGGCCAGGGCAGGAGCCAGGCCACAAGCGGGGGTCCCGGCTCTGCTGCTGACTGAGGCCTGTGTGACTGAGGGGCATTTCCTGCCAATCCATCACTGAACGGGAGGGGTTAAGCAAGGGGACCAAGAAGGTCCCAGCGCTGGCCTCAGCCACTGTCTATCAAGGCCACCACGTGCCCAAGGAGAGGGGCAGTCAGTGGCTGAGCAGGACAGGAGAGAGTGTGTGCGTGGCCTTGACGCCACCGCCTGGCTGCTGAGGGGCGCCTACCTCTCCGTGGGACCTGCCCTTGTCCTGGGCGCTGGGCCCAGCAGGGCCACGGCCTGGTCTCAGGACGGGGAAGGGCCCCTGGGGCAGCACAGACGAGCCGAGACGGAGGAGCTGTGCTGGAGAGGACCCCTCAACACGGGGAGCAGGTGGGTGGCCGGGGGCGCTCGGGGGGCTCGGGACCTGGGTCTCTAGGTGCCCGACTGTCCCCCAGAGTCTTCTCCCATCTTCCCGATTTATACTTAGGGTTCTCGCGATGGACCCTGTGAGGCACTGGCTGCCCTTGCGGTCACAGGCCACCCTTCTGGCCCCCAGTGTCTAAGATGAGAAGGTCTGGGCCTGCGTCACGCCTCCCGTCGCTGTGGCCTGTGGTTTGGATTTTATGGAAAGGACAACACCCCAGGGACGTCTCCAACCAGTCCCTGCGCTCAGCCCCTAAGGCCGCCAGGACTTGGAAAAACGGCCCTCGGGCCCCAAGAGCCAGGGGCAGAGCCACGAGCTGCTGGCGTGTGGCACAGGCACACTCTGCCACTAGATGTTGACCTAGAGAACCGATCCCCCTTGCAGAACGCTTGGGGAGCCTAAGCCTGGCAGGTGACTCGGACTCAACAGGGACACACAGACTTGCGGCCGCGAGCAGGCTGGTGGGCGGCCCTCCTCAGCGGATCCCTAGACGACGCTTTCTAGCAGTTTTCTTCCGCTTCCTGCTACTCTGCTACTCGGCCTGACAATGACAACTGGGCATTGCTCCGCTCTACACCTGGGGCCCCGGGGCAGCTGACCGTGGCCTGAGGAGAGGGGAGAGCCTGAGCACAGAGGGGCGCAATGGGATTACAGCTGTTCATATGAGAAACAACACGATAATGAGTAAATAATGGTGCAAGAATAAGCTGTGCTTGCTGTGCGCACACCTGCAAACCTACTGTCGCTCCACCCAGTGCGTGGCACGTCCCGCACAGGGGAGCCACCATGAGGCCGCAGGCGGCTCGCCCACCTGCAGGTCCCACACGCTGCGCTTTGGAGCACACAGTAGGGACACTTGCCACCTGCTTCTAAACCTGGTCAGGTCTGACTTACACTAATTCTGGAAAATGTTACAAAAGATTAAAGAGACAAACAGCTAGATGCAATTATGACTCCTGATTGATCTTCATTACAAAAAAGCCAGCCACATGCCGTTTCTGGGGGAGTCAGGGCGCAGTGAGGTGGTTTGCTGGTATGAAGAGATGTGTCATTAGTTCCCTCCGGTGTGAGAACGGTATTGCAATCAGACAGGCTTGTACAATTTTTCAGGAGGCACGCTGGAGAAGTCAGGAACCGAGTGTCCCATCTGTAACTTACTTCCAAGTGGTTTAAGACTACAATACACACGCCGTATCTATAAACTCTCAATAAAAGGCTTTCTGGGGGGACTTTTACACTCCCGTACTGCACCTGACCTTGGGAGAGGCCGAGGCAGGTCGGCCTAGGAGCTGCCAGGGACCGTCGTGGGCAGTGTGCCCTGTCCTCCGGGGGCTCACGTGTGCGCAGGTGACCGAGAGGCCCCGGCGACTGCCTGCATGCCAGAACGGGGGCTGCTGGGCAGGGGGGGGGCGTCCATGGTTTTCCTGTTTTCTTGCACTCTTCTGTACTTCCCACGCTTTCTACCCTGAGTGTGAATACTTTTGAAAACCACAGAAAAGGAAAGGACGTGGATGCGAAGCGCCAGCGGGCCTGGCCCGCGGCTGGCAGGACGCAGGCTGCTCCCGCCGGGCGGCCTTGCAGCTCCCAGGACCCTGGCCCCACGTGCATCCCGGCCTACCTTTCTCCGCCGTCTCTGCTTTCCTTCCCGGGGGTGCTGCCTACCGCAGAGGGATCTCTGGGGTGCCCATCTTTCGCGGCTGGCGAGTCCTGGGAAGAAAAGTTGGTGCTTGGTTTGTGACAGGCGCCCACGCCGGGGCCGGTCAGCTTCCCAGCATTCCTGCCTGTGAGTGGCTTTAGTTCCTATGGAGTGATCCAAGATGGGAACCAGTTACCCATGGATGTCGCTCATTACACCGAAAGCACAAGGCCCTCTTCCGACTAGCATCTTGCCCTCGGGGACAGTGAAAGGTGCCACTACTTATAACGTGTCAGCTGCCCACCGACATGAAGCCATCCCGGCCACCTCCTGGGGGAAAGGATGTCACAGCTGCTACTACTCAGCAAAGCTCAGCCAGGCACTGTGCCCGCACCGCGACCCCATCAGCGGTACCACTGCGGCCATTCACACACACGCAGACAGGCTGGGAGAAGCTGGGGGCCCTGCCCGAGACCGCACGGCCAGAGGCTGCAGAGGCCTCGACTTGGGCCCAGGGTTGCTGCCTCCCGAACCTGCATCCTTAGCCACTGGACCCCGCGGCGGGCAGCGGGCACAGCTCCGCCGACCTCGTTAAAGGCAGCCCCCTGTACCGCTGCGCGCGGGGGCCGCCCAGGGATGGCGCTGGAGGGCCTGGCCGCCCGTGTGTGTGAGCGTGACGTCCCCCCCCAGCAGCCTCGCTCCCTCCTGGAATCTGGGCCCGCCGGGCCCAGCACCAACACGGTGCTCCCGCAGCCCTGGCCCGCCACCAAGGCCAGGGCAGTAGGGCAGCAGGAACCACGGGCACCGTCACGGAGAGGGCTCCTGGCGAAGCAGTCGGCGCTGAATATGGTCCCAGCCAGAGCTGTGGGCCCCAGAGGGCCAGCCTGAGGTGGGTGCCATGGGGCCGAGGCTGAACTGGATAGTGCTGGGGGCCAGGGCCACCAGGGCCACCAGGGCCACCAGGGCCACAGGTGAGGTGGGAACTCCAGGGGAGAGACAGCTAAGCTCCCACGCATGGGGTCAAATCCTGCTGCAGTGAGAATTCCCCAGCGCCTGATGACTTGCTAACGCCTGAAGCACGGCTTGCCTTGTGCAGACCTCTTGGAGCCTGCAGGACTCCCTTGAGGGCGGGGTCATCTTAACAGGAGTGACCGCGCTTCTCCCGGGCCTGACCCCCTGATCGATCACCAGGGAGGACTGAGGGCCCCTCCCCTCAAGGACCTGCGCCACTCAGGGTGCCGGGAGAGAGTTCTCTTTGAGGCTTTTGATTCGGCTCATGTTTTGCTGCGGCAAAGCCCGGAAGCTGAGCACTCCTCAGGAGGGCTGAGCTTGGCTGTTGAGCTGGGGCAGCCGGGGGGCCAGGGTGGCGGTGTCGGGTGGTCCTGCCTGCTCTCAGGAGGGAGGGGCGCGGAGGCACAGCAGGGCCCGCCTGCCGGACTCCCCGCTTCCCGCTTCCGGGGAAGTGGCTGGGGAAGTGGGGAGGAGCATGCTGGGGAGGAAGAGGAAGCGACGGTGTGGGGGAGAGGTCGCCCCTCTGGGACAGGGATGGAGGACGGACCTTGACACCAGAAGATGGGACAGATGGAAATCTCTGAGAGCACCTGCTAGGTGGCCGGGTCATCGGCAGGCGCCCCCCGCAGATTTCCAGAAGGCCCATCGGGCAGGCTTGAGGAGCGTCATGTGCAATGAAGCGAAAGCCAAAGACCTCCACCAGAGGCCAGGTCCTCTGCCCACAGGCCCGCCTGCTAGGGACTGGGAGGCTCAGCCAGAAGCCGGGGCCCAAGCCCTGCCTGCCGGCCACATGCACAAGGCTGCCCTGAGGCTACTTACTCCCCGAGGGTGAGCCAGCTCCTCGCTGCTCTGGCCAGAGGAGCACAGACTGACGTATTCACCCTCCCCAGCCTCCTCGCTGGCGTTTCCACTCTGGGGGCGACAGGGTGGGAGGAAAGGCACATGTGGCAAGCCCTCCCGCCAGCCTGCAGGCTCAGCAGGGACAGCCTGCCGGGAGCCCTACCAGGACCCTCCTCGTGGGGGAGAGAGGACAGTGACGGTGTGCACGCAGGTCTCCCCAGGTAGCTTTGCCCCGGGGTGGGAAACAGAGCGGCTTCGCCACCTCCTGCTTGTGTTACGGGGCCCACGCTTCCCGCTGGGTCTTCCTCACAATGCCGAGGGCCACCCAACCGTCCAGGTGAGGCATTCGTGCCCTTTCCCTCTCTACTGTTGTGGGGACTAAAGGGTCCCCAGTGTGGCGAGAGGCGATTACAGAGGGAAAGAGGCAGCCAAGCAGATGACTCAGCGTGCTGAGGGCCAGTCCCTGCCTGCCTGCGCCCGCTCTGCGCCACCTCCGTGTCCACGTCCACGCCTGCTTGCCAGGCAGCACCTCCCTGGGCTCGGAAGCTCTGCAGTCAATGCCACGGCCAGGAGGGCCGGCCCCTGTGCCCAGTACCACATACAACTAAAAGGCTGCCGCCTGCGACCTCTGCCCCTTCCTCTCAACACCGCCGGCCACACAGAACACCGGGGGCATCTCCTACCTCATGCTCATGCTAACGGACCGTCTCTAAATGGTCACCGGTCCGTTTGCGGAAACTCAGGCCCCTCGGTTGCCAGGATCTTTGTATGCAACGGGCTACTGCTGCCCCTCGAGACCTACCAGACCTCTACCCAGCCACGCCGCTCACAGCATGGGCGGTGGCAGTCTTTCATCGACAGTGACACCGCTTTCTCACAACGCGCAGCCCCCCACGAGGGGCGTGTGTGCGGAGTCCTCACCGAAGGCGTCTGGGGCGAGTCAGTGAGAGAGGTTTCGGAAGGAAGGCAGACAGGGTTCCCATGAAAGGCGCTCTCCTGAGAGGATGAAAGAGGCCCGTCCACGGTGCTGGGAGGCGGACGGGCCACGGTTGGCACCGCTAAGTCCGAGCTCTGAGACTGGTGGACAGGCGGGAAGTGCGGAGAGGAAGAGGAGGTAGGCGGGAGGAAAGGCTGTGCGGAAGCTTGGTTGTGAGGCACGAAACCCTGGGAGTAGGACCTAAACACAGATTTACACTAGAGTCCAAGTGGGGAACAAACACAGAACGAGGAGGTGGGAGGGAGAAAACAGACAAAAGGAAAAGTCGTTAGATTAACTCAGTTGAGCTCTGATAGGCTGTTCACAGTAATTCCAACAAGGGCCACAGACCAGGCCCAACTGACCCTGCGGTCCTCTGGCCTGGCGTGCCCGCCCCCTGCCCCCCGGCCGGACAGCCTCCCTTGAGAGTCCTGGAGACTGACCGGTGCCGTCCCGCACAGCGGGGACACCCCCGAGGACAGCGCGCCCACGCTCTGCATGGGTGGTCACGCCCTCTGTCACACAGGCCAGTCTATGCTTTTTGTCCTTCCAGGAACCTATGGGCTAAATTCAACATGTTTAGTTAGACACCTGGTCATGTTTACTCATTTTAAACCTTTTGGATAAATAAACCTCTTTGGATTTATCCCTTGAAAGTCAAACACTACAGCTTTTTACATATTGTAATCCACCTCAAATCCTTTTGGAAGGGTAGGGCACTAGTTTTAAAAACAGTTGGAAATATTGTGCTGCCAAAATGCAAAACATTTCTGAGTTCATTTCCCTTCCCGCCCAATCTTGTTTTCTTCCTTTCATTAAAATTTTTTCTTTTTATCCTCACCTGAGGACACTTTTCATTGCTTTAGAGAGAGAGAAACCCTGCTGCACCTGGGCCAAGGGTCAAACCAGCAGCCCAGGCATGTGCCCTGAGCAGGAATCAAACCCGCAACCCTCTGGTTATGGAACAAAGCTCCAACCACCTGGGCCATGCTGTCCAGGGCTTCTTTCTTTCTCTCTTTCAATAAATGAAGTGGTCTTGCAATGCCTCCAACGCTACCTCAGAGCCCAAGGCCACCCCCTCCCAAACGCCCTCCGGAAGGAAGGTCTGAGGCCAGGCTGGGAACTGACACAGGGAGCCCCGTGCAGGCCTGGGCTCTGTGCAGGGAGGAGGGCCAGAGGGGCGGGGACCCGACTGCCAGCGAAGAACACGACCGTATCACTGTGGCCCACAAGGGTCTTGCCAACACGCTGCCAACTGTCCCAAGGAAACGGGAAAGGAGTGTGTGGCAGGGACCGTGGCTGAAGAACTTGCCAGGCTCCCTCGGCCACTGTCCCGACGGCTCCCTGCCGGCCCCGCGGGGGTCCGGGGCTCTGCACGAATCATCCCTGTCTCCACAGACGGGGGCTGATTCTTGTCACACGATGAAGAACCTGACAAAAGTCAAGCCCAGCCAAACGTGCACATCATTCGCTCCGTGTTCTCTGCACTTGGCCGAGGATTTTTCGGAACCCGAGAACAAAGGAGGGAAAAATGAAAATTTAAACTGCAGGAGGTCAAAGCTGTTCACATCCTTAACCAGCTCTGCAAAGCTCCCTCTAACCCGGACCAAGAGCCCTGGCAGTCCCAGGGACAGGCTGGCCTCCCTCCCTGCGCCCAGCCTGCTGGCAGTAGCACCCTGGCCCCGCCGGCTGCACCCATCAGAAGGGAGGGTGTCCCCCCGCCGTGCGCGCCAGGGCCGCTGACGTGTATCAGACCCGGCGCACCTGTCCTAGGTCCCTACTCATACATTTCGTTGCCCACCCGACTCCCAGACTCGAGGCAGCCCCTGCCGGTCCAATGAGCGAGCGGAGGCGCTGCAGGCTGTGACTGACACCGAGGGCTTCGATTCCTGCTCGAGAAGGTGCTCTGTTCACGTCCCTCTCTGCAGAGAAGCCGGCCCTTCTGCCAGGGAGGCTGCAATGAGAGGTCTGGGGCCTGGAGAGGGTCCCCTGGCCATGCTGGGACCCCAGCGTTGGACTCGCAGCCTCCAGAACTGTGAGAAATAAATTTCTGTTGCTCGTAAGCCACCCAGCGTGTGGGGTTTTCTTAACAGCAGCCAGAATGGACTAAGTCAAAAAGGCCAGCTCTCTCTCGGGCACCAACACTGTCCTCACTGATACCCAGCCCCTGCAAACTCAGCACGGAGCAGGCCCAGCGGCACCTGAGCCCAACTTAAACACACAGTTACTGTGTGATCCCACGATGCAGGACATTGGATAGCAGCTTCCTAGTGGATCACATGGTTAAACAGGTCTTGCTGTGACAAGTTCAGGTTGGCAGATGCCTATGTGGCTGGTGCCTTTTCTGGGAGCTGGGACACGTTTTTAAGTCACAGGAACCTGGACTATATACCCTAGTGATGCAAAGCAAGTGCCTTAAGTTCTCAAGCCCCAGTTTCTTCCCGTTTAGAAGGGGAATGAAAACAGTAGCACTTCCGTCCCAGGAGCTGTGTGGATTTGATGGTGACACCCAGAGTCCCGGCACAGCCTGGCACACGGCCAGCACTCAGTCAGCACCAGCTGTCCTCCCCTGCCTTCCTACATCCCAGCCTGGGAACTATGCTACACAACAGCACTGAGATATTTAATAGGGGTCCAATATTTCTATTCACTGAACAGAGGAATACTTAGGAATTGCTTCTAATATTATTATTAAAGTACCCAGAATATTGCCTGACTCAGCGGCGTCTCACTTTTGAGAGCAGAGGGGTAACAGGCAAGCGCCGCCCACTGCCAGGTGCAGGGCCCCAGTGGGAGGCAGGGAAGGGGGCCCAGGGACCTGCCAGGGCATGCACGGCAGGAGAGGGGCAACCACCCAGGAGGAAGGAAGGAGGTCGCAGCTCTAGGACTAAGTGTCCACCCTCCTTAAGTGCCTCCCTCAGGGGCTCCTGAGCGGCTCTGGTATTCAAGCTATGCAGCCAGGCTGGGATAGCGGCCAAGCTCGAGAGGTGCCTTCCAGGGCGGGGGAGACGCACGGAGCCGCGGCCAATCACCAGGAAGCCCGGTGCCTCTGCAGCGGCTCGTTACCGTGCCATTTCCACCGGTCTGGTCTCCACTGCTCCGTCCGAGTAGTATTTCCGGGCCCTTTAGGACCATGCCTATTCACAGAGTGGGGGGACCGGCAGGGCTGGCCCCGGACGGAAGGGCCGCTTCAGCACAGCCTGGGGTTCACCCCAGGGTATGGCCGGAGCCCGGCTTCGCCTCTGACAGCGCAGCTGCGCCCTCCTTGGCAAGAGCTTCTGTTCACAGCCAGAGCAAGGCTGTGGGGCCGAGGGTTTTATAACCGGAGGGACCGCCCGTCTCAAGACCGCAGGTTTCTGTGAAAGGCCGGGGAGTCTCTGGGAGGGTCCCGGGAAGAGGCGGCCTCAGGAGAAGGGGCACCACCCCCCACCCCGTCGCCCTGATCATCGGTCCCTCAGAGGGCCGGCAAGGACCGTCTCAGGACGGTTCAGCGAGCGCCCCTCACCGACGGCTCCCTGCCGGCCCCGCGGGGGCCCAGGGCTCTGCACGGATCATCCCCGTCTCCACAGACGGGGGCTGATTCTCGTCACACGATGAAGCAGCAGGCGGGAAGCGAAGGCCACACACCGGGTAACACACAGCGCCGCTCCTAGGAGGTGACTCAGCATTCGGAGCACAAGACGCGCCTTCCGCAGCCCTGGCTGCGCTTGGAGCGCCCCTCCGTTGAGTCAGGGGGACGACCAGCAGGCCAGAGGCAGTGGGCCCAGGCCGGAGCGAGGACAGAGCTGGGGGTGCAGAGTGCTGCCCCCACGAGATGCCGCAGCCCGCAGCCACTCTTGGACATGTGCACCTGGAGGACCCACAGGGGTCTTTTGAGGGTTCAGGGTGACAGAGCTTGGTGACCTTCTACGTCAGCACGTGGCCAATCATACCCTGGGATGCAAAGCCACCAAAGCTGCTTAGGCACCAGTGTCCACCGGCACTTTCTCTCCACTGTGGTCCTGGCATGAAAAATGACCAGGGATGGGTCCTATGCTGTGCTGGGCAGAAAGCAGACCTTTAAATGAAGGGTGCAGATTCTGCAACCTCACATGTCACTGCACTGAATCCCGTGGGTTATGAGGAAGCGGGGGCTTTCTGAGAAGGCTGCCTGTGTGCCGGCAGCTGTGGGCTGGGGCCACGGGCCCAAGGGCCTGGCCGAACGGCTGCCCCACAGCAACGTGCGTGCCAGACTTTGGGGAACCTGCAACGTTACCAATTAAGGGAAACGCGCTCGTTGGTGTGAAGGGACTTCCTGTTGTGGTGAAGCGTTTGGGAAAGCAGTCATGACTGCGCCCTCCTGGCTCAAGCAAGGCTTCTGGTTTCAGCGTTTTTAGGTGCTACTTCGAGAGACAGCTAAGCTCCTGGACAGCTTGGGTGGGGCCTCGCCTTTACCCGCCGCTTGTGAGGACACACTCGAGGGGAGCCGCTGGCCCAGAGCGGCCTGGGCTTGCTTCTCCGCGCAAAATCACCGGGCCCGCAGCTCAGTGCTGGTCCTGGGCTCCGCACGCCTCCTTGCCAGCAAGGCCACCAAGCGTCCACACCATGTGCAGCCCACGCTCTTCCTCCTGGAGGGAAGTCAGGCACGACACCCACCCGATGTCCGGGGAGCGGACGCCTGGAGAGAGGCACGCTGGACTTGGCTCTGAGAGATGGGACATGATCACTCCGATCCAGGTGACCAGGAGGACCCTTGATAACATTCCTTGCTGCTCCCGGTGGCAAACAGAGGGGAGGAGTGCTGGCTTCGTCTCGTCTTCCTTCTGGTCCCAGTGGACTGTGTCAGCAAAAGCCATCCTGCGGCTCTACCCTGGGCCCAGGGCACAGTCCTTGTTTGACGTCCCTGCGGTGCTTTATGGGAGCCGTGCTCCCTGGCGGTGGCCGACTCAGAGGCCGAGGCAGCAGTCCCTGCAGAGCCCACCCGGCCTGGGCGGGGCGCCCAGCCGGCCCTGCTGTGCTCGCCTGACTGAGGGCGGCACCGGGGCCACGGCGGGGTCCGACACATCTCTGAGTGAACTCCGGGGTGGAGTATATTTTTAAAAACCACCTGACAAGTCTAGTGTTTTATAACAATGGGTGTAAAAGATCAACGTCTTTTGCTTGGGAGAGTTTTAGGCAGTAGGCCAGGCGAAGTAGAAGTTCGGTCCTTCTCTTCTCCTGTGAGTTTTGCAACCTAAAT